AATTCACATAAGTAAGGAGTGGATTTGAAGGTCTTCTGTTACACTAGATGCTAGCTTAAACTGGCAGTAGATGGTGTTTAATTTGATTGTATAAAATAATTTTGAAACCAGAGATAATTTGTAATAAAATAATTGATGGAGTTTTATTTGATGCCATAATGCATTGATTCTTCTGCAGTTCCAGAGGCAGTTTGATTGTGAAGTCTGTATGTGACACACATGATATGGAAATATGCTATAAATGTGAAATACATGGTATGGTCTTTTTTTCTTAGGGCTTTTGGGGGGAAAAAAATAGAGAAGTGGATGAAAAATGTAGGGATAAATCATAAAGGCTGTTTTTCTGAAAAAGAGTTGGTCTATAAATAGTTCACTATGTATTTCAAAAATGAAACTTAGGTAAGGTGAAATTATTCTGAAAGAACAATTATTTTGTTTTGACATCCTCCCTTCAATCCTTCCAACCCATGAGAAACACCATGTGCCACTGATCTCCCATTGAACAGTGAGCTGTTGACCACAACTGAGTGTGACCTTGTTGACAGTTCTTCATCTGCTGCTTGATCTGTCTATCAAATCCACCTCTCCAATTTGGAGACAAGGGTCTGTTGTGGGACTGTGTCATAGGCTTTTCACAAGTCCAGAGAGATGATGTCAGTTGCTCTTCCTTTACAGCATGTCTACTTAAACTGAGTAAATTGTATGCCTGATGGGTAGTGCTTTTTAGCCTCAATTTAGGTTGGGGTTTGGCATTTAAATATACAGTCTAGGGGACAAACTGCAAATTGTGAGGTCCTGAGGTTCACAGCTGTACAGAGCATATGTTGCAAATTTCCATCTATGTGATTTTAGCACACATGTCTAATATTTATGGTTTTTTGGAGGCTCTTGTTTAGGGTTTTGGGTTTTTTTCTTTTTTGCTATGGATATCTACATGGTTAAGATTGGAGAAGTTACCAGTGTGTATGGAGGACGTGCTGGTGAATATTTGACATGTCCTTCTTTTATTTTGCAGAGATCTACAGCCAACAAGACTTCTGGTGCTCCTTCCTACAGCAGATGGTCCAGTTCACAGCCCCATCAGGTAATATGCCCTTGTCAAAAAGGATATGAAGTTCAGGTTGACACATGCTTCCTTTTAAAATGAATCTGTGAGGGGATCTGAGAGTGTTACCTACCTGCACTAGTCGAGCTGGGTCATGCTGGTCTCTGAGGTTGTTGCAGGATATCCTGTGGCAAATTCTTGGATGCAGTTGCTGCTCACAGAGGAGCATGTACAGCTATGCCTCCTCTAATGCATTGGTGCCTCTCTGGTTTGTCGGGGATATTATTGTGGCTGGATCCTCCTATCCTTTGAATCTTGTCACTTAAGCTACAAGTGTGGGTGTTTGATACCCTCTGGCAACACATGAAGTCTGTTCTCCTATGCTGGCCTTCCCCCTGATCCCACTGCCCCAGGGTTTCTTTGTGAAGTGATTGCAATGATCAAAACCTCCAGGAAAACTTGTTAATTGAAACTGAAGCCAGAAACTCTTAAGTGATAGCCAGGAAACCATATCACAGTTAATGATTCCTTATAAGAATTTGAATGATATCCAGGGTTTCTGTTACTTTATCTAAATCAAAAGTCATTTTGACTATAGACAAGGATATGGCTTGCTAGTAACTTTGTCTTCAAAAACTCTTCAGGCGTCTTTTCAGTAATGATTGCATTGACATTGCTTTTTTCCAGCTTCTACTTTTGTTTTTGTACCTCTTTCTACATACACATTAAAAAAAAAAACAACACCAAAACCCCAGTAACGTACAAAACCCAAAACCACCAGTCCCCCTTGACACTATGAAAAATTTTAAGTATCATGTTGAACAAACCCTTGATCTGACATGCTGGTTTTTCCTTTTGGAAGATATTTGTACACTTAGAGAGGAAACTTCCATTAAGTTGTGATTTGATCTCAAAAACTAAAGCAAAAGAAATAATTTAATTTATATTCAGATTAGGATGAGAAACAAGTGGCTAAGTGCTTCATGGACTGTTAGCTACCTTTTTCACTGTCCTCCCAGTGTTAATAGTCCTGTTTTCACAAAGTATTGTGAGAATTTTGTGCCTTCTCTTCATATAAAAATATGGTTCTTTTGCTTGCAAAGTTTTCCATGTTTTCTGTCTTGCAATTTTTCAACACTGAATTTTTACTGTTGAGGGTAAAAGTGAAGAACACATAGACAAAAGGTTAACTTTTTTTAGTGGTTATTGCTTGCTCCATCCTAGGGCATTAGACAGTGAGCAAGAAAAAGCTCATGGAGTATAACTAATACATACAAGCAGTGTTCCCCTCTTCCTGTGTGTGTCTGCAGTTGTCTGTTAATAGGAGATGAATTCCTAAGTCAGGAGGAGATCATCCTAACAAATCATATGAAATGCACCTTATGCTCTACACACTTGTTTTCCTTTCTGAGAAGGGAGGGAAACATAAGCACATAATAAAGTTTGTTTGTAATGTTACAACCCTGTCAAACCACTAGCAGAGTTGAGGGATTAACTATCAGGAATGTTGCTTGAAAGTATGTCTAGACTATCCAACATCTGCAGGAAAAAAAATTGTTCTAATGTACTAAAGCGTGCCCTTGGTAATTTCCCTTCACGTATGCTGTAACTCTTATGTTTGACTCTTGTTTTCCTTTGTCATTTCCTCTCTAATCTTTTTCTTCCATGTTTATTGTCAGCTTTTGTCTTCTGTGTTTTGGGTTTAATAAGCTTATAAACTTGCCTCATGGATAGTATAAATGCCAGTACCAACTGTGAGGATGTATAGGCTTGCTGCAGTTCCGTTTGGGAGACTGGAATACCGCTGTGCGCTCTCATGAGCTGAGTGGCAAAATATTTGTATTGCATAAGAGATTTGTATTCAGCCTTGCCACTTGGCAGCATCTATATAGAGTTTAAATAAACTTTTTTTTTTTTATATTTTTTTAAAGATAGCTTTCCAGGAAAGAAAAAGATTAAAGTCCAAATTCATAGTCTGCATTTTCTTTAGTCTCATGCAGTGAACCCAGTGAAGGCTTTTCCACATGCATTTTACAAGAATCCACACACAAATCTAATAAAACTACATATCTGAGAACTTTGATGCATCGAAGAAATGTTAAAAGTTAAATTGATTTCTTCCTTCTTTCCCCTAAGTTTTTCTTTTTTCATTTCCTCTATCTATGTGAACTTGGAAGGTCCATTAGGTGAGAGATTTGAAAGGGTGAGGTCAATGAGTCACAGAAAATAACACATTTTTCCCTTACTTGTTTTGCTTTGTACCCAGACATGCTTATTTTTTGTATTGGATAAACTGAAGCATGTTTGTCTATCTCAAATATGCTATCTGGGGAGGTTTTTAATAAGTTTCTATCAACTTATTGCTCTCATGATCACATGGAATTTGTATGATCAGGTTTGGTTTTTTTTAATATGAAGCTGTTCAAAGAGTAGTCTAGTTTGGGTTTCTTTTTGCTTCCACTGCTCCTTGAGCCTGACAAAGTCTCTCGTTGCAGAGGAGGCATCTTTGGAACTTGATTTAGAGGTTCCTTCTGACTGCCCTGGGAAAGAGGCATTAATACCTGGTTCAAGCTAGGTTTCTTCAAGCATTTCTCTTTCTCAATGTCAATGTCAGAATAAGAAGCCATTAGTCTAAAAAGTTGATTTTTTTTTTTTTTTTGATTCAAGGAATTAATCAATTTTGAGGGGTGGATGGGAAGGCCAGACCAAATCTTAAGCTTCTGAACTGGCATCCATGGTGCTGTGGGATCTTACTAAACTGGCTTGAGGGATGGAATCAAGGAGGAAATACAGATGTTAATAAACCAAAATTGCCTACACTTTGTTCTTGGCTAGTGGCATTGCTTGATGTGTGAAGAAGTCTGCAGCAAGCTCTGAACTTAGTCCTTCTGTGGTTCTCTGAAGGCTGCTGCCTGAAGTGCAAGAGCTCTTAGAACTGATGAAAATGAATGAGGAAGTGGCACTTTATCAGGGATGATGATACAGCTATTTCTAACACGATGCTGCTTTTGCTCAGCAGGATGACAACCAAGGCAGAGCTTCTTAGAAGTGATGGCAAATCCTTGTGTGGGACAGTCTCTCTGACATTATGAATCAAAGGTACACAGGCAGGCTGGGACACAAGGCTCTCAGCTTTGCAGCTCGGTTGTCTCTGAAAGCAGTTTTAACATTAACAATGCACTCATTACTAGTAATGACTTGAGAACTATATGCTAGCAAAAATGAAAATGAAGAGAAAAGCCCTCTTTTTTCCTGTCGTGGTTTGACACGGAAAAAGAGTTTTCTCAGAAGGAAGAGATCAATTTGGATATTGACCAATTGAAGGTGGACACGCCTCTGAGAACACAGAGGGGTTAAAAGCAGAATTCCCAGGGGAACTCGCTCTCTTTGGTTCTGCTCAGCGTGCAGTGCAGCCTCTCCCCTGCCCGGCCGTGGCTGGGTGGGGAGGGGGAGGCCCAAGGGTGGAGGGACTGGAACCGGGCTGGCCCCTGCAGATGGAAGGATGGAGAAATCTGGGATGTCTCTGTTCCCCCCACCCCAGAGTTTCTCTCTCTCAGGAGAGAGAAAGAGACAGCAGCAGTTTTGTCAACAGTTCACCATGGGGAAGGAGAAGAGCGAGGGGGGCTGCAAGGTGCCCAGCTGCCTGTGGGAGCTGGAGCCTGGGCATCAAGCCATTCTTGGGAGTTGAGACTTTTAACCCTTCCTGAGAAATGAAAGCTTTGTGAATTTTTTCTCCTCCTCGGTTTGAAAGAGAGGAAGAGAGACAGCTTGGACCCTGGGATGTTAGAAGGAGAAATTCTACGTGGGAGGAGATGATGGAGTGGCTTTTGGCTGGACTTTTTCTTGGTACCCACAGATTGAACTGATTTTCTCCTCCAAGAGAGACTGTATTTTAGGAGGATGACATTGAGCCAAGAGACCTGCTTCAGCTGGGAAAAGACAGAAGTGGAGCGAACAGAGAAAAGTTAGGGGGTTTGTGGTGGTGCCCCCTGTCTTCAGAGAAGAAGAAGGGAAGAAGATCTCTGTTCTTGGACCCTTGGCCCCAGGGGAAAATGATGGGGATTGTGGTCCCAAAAATGAAAAACTTAACTGTTGTTTTTTTTCCCCTCCTGGCAGGGCATCCTTAAAAGGAAAAATCCTAAAAGCAGTCTGTCCATCCATGCATTGGTGGTGAGAGCACTGTGCATGGAAAGAAGGGTCACCATGGCAAACATTTCTCCGGGCGGTGCCATGTGTGACATGGAAACACAGGATGTGGCAGCTGTGTTTCTTGGGGGGTCTGTAGCACAGGAGAGACTTTGTCTCCCTCGATAGGCTGAGTATCGATTGTCTGGAGGGTGGAAACCTGATTGGGGTCCAGATTGTGTCTCACTGTGGTTTGTTGGAGTTGAGTGGTAGGAGGAGGAATGTTTTGCAAGGTTTTCATTTTGAATTTTGTGTGTGTTTTTGTCAAACCATAGCATTTCCTTAGAAAAAAAGAGAGGGAACCATATCTTTCAGATGCCGGCTTAAGGTCGAGGCATTCAAAGAAACCATTAATTGTCCTAAAAGAAAGAGTGATGGGACAACGATCCTCCTAACTGTTAATGAGAGGAAAAAAGTCAGTAGCACCTAGTCATATCTCACAAATAAATCCACCTTGTATGCAGATAGAAGATAGTGATAGGCTCACTTTTCTTGCTCATGAGCTGGGAGCTGGTACAATCTGACAATTCATTTGGTCTCCACCACTGGCTGGCATTTAAGTGGCAATATTCCAGGTCTCTTGCGCAAAGGTTGTTAGCAAGACTATCTTTAGAGATGCCTAGATTATATTACTTTCTAGAATATTCTAATGCCTCTTCAATATTAGGTGCTAAATGAGCCTGCAGAATAATTGGTGTGTATTAAATGACATTAAAAATAATATAGAATATTTCAGCATCTTTCTCCTCCTCATATCTATTAGCAAGGCATTAGTTTATGAGCTAATGAGGTAAAAAATAAGGAAAGTGAAACTGTGTCCAATGGGCCACAGGACAGGAGTGCTTGCATAATGT